CCTTTTTTTTTTGGAAAAGACAAAAATATGTTTTGTGGGTTTGTTTTGTCCAAAACATTGCAAAAGAACTTGTTTATTTACTTGCAAATAAATTTCTTTGATAAGCAAAAAAAAAAAATTATTAGCTAGTCCTCAGTGTGCACCTGTTTCCAATTTTTTGCTATAATCTCCCCTCTTAATTTCAAAGGCTTTCCTGTGTTTGTTTTGTATTTATATTACATATAGTTTGCTTTGTCTATATTTATTTGCATGTTGTCTCCCCCATTAGACTGTAAGCTCCTTGAGGGCAGGGATTGTCTTTTGCTTCTTACTGTACCCCCTACACTTAGTACAATGTCTAGTGCATAGTAGCTGCTTAATAAATGTTTATTGGTTGATTGATTTGTTACAAAGATGACCCTGGTATATATGGAAACTGTTTTTCTGTCTTTGACCTCCTTGAGGTATATGCCTAAGCAATGGTATCTCAAAAGTTATGCTGTTTTAGTCTCTTTTAAAATATAATTCCAAATGGCCTTCAAGAATGATTCCATCAAAGCCTGAAAGACTGAGTGTGGGTGAATCTAGGATTGTTTTTCTCTGGCAATATGAATCAAATGTGAACATGGACTCCAATAAAGTCCTCTTCTAAGAGCTAATCATATTCATCATAATAAGTTACATTTATATATTATTTTAAGGCTAATGAAGCATTTTCCTCACAATAACCCTCTGAACTGAGTGTGATCTCCACTTTAAAGATGAGGAAATTGAGTTTGTGAGACTTGGGTTTTCAAAGTCTCAGCCAGCAAAACACAAGTTTTGGCAAGTCTTACCGAGCTGTAAAGCACAGAATCCATTGATGTGGTCTGAGGACAAACCAAGAGGACAACTGACAGTTTGGCCACACAGCAACAAACTTTTCAACTAAATCCACTTTCAAAGACCGCCTACCAAGTTGTGGAGCAGTTGTGAGTTCGATCTGTAGAACTAAATCTGCTGTTCTTGAAATACTGAAGAAAGATGTTCAAAACAGCTCCAAAGGACAGTTTCCATCTTAGACTTAAATTCAATTCTTTCCTTAAAAGCAAAATAAAGTGAAACAAAACAAACCACAGTATATCATTAGTAATTGCTTCTAACACATCACTACCATCTTTGAAACTAGAAAAAGTTGCCTGTGCTTCTGCACTCGTCTTTCAACCCTTTGCCATCACTCAACAAAACAGACTCTTAGCAAAATTAGCAGTGACCTCTGAATTGCCAAATCTGATGGTCTTTTCTTTGTCCTCATTCTTCTTGACCTATCTACTGCATTTGACTCTGTTGAAGATATTGGCATCACTTGGTGGATATTCTTTCCTTTCTGGGTTTTCATGACATTACTCCAGGGGTTTGCTAGAGCTACACCAAGGATAGTGCCAATTGTAACATTTTCAGGCTGAGCATTTACACCTTAGAAACCGACTTAGACCTAGACCTTAGGAACAAAGGAGGCTTTGTTTTGTTGATTGTCTAGACTTAAGAAAGTGCTGGAGAAAATGTTAATGATGCAGATTAAACCTAAAAGTGTGTCTGAGCCTTTTCAGAGAGTTAAACATTTACCAGCATAATCCTGCCTACTTACTGGTCCACCTCCTACCTCTTCCTTCTCTGTATCACTTTGCCAGCTCATCAGGCTAACAAGCTCCCTGACCGTAGGTAATGCACAGTTTCAGGGGAAATTGGAAAGACCTCTATGAACTGATATTAAAGTGAGAAGAATTAGTAGAACAATGTATACAATTAGCATCATTATACAGAAAAACAACTTTGGAAAGTCTTTAGAACTCAGATCAATGCAATGATAAATCACAAGTCCATAGGACTGAAGATGAAATATGCAGCATGTTTCTATCTATTGCTGGAGAGGTGCTGGACTTCAGCAGAACAAGGCAGAATAAAAATAATGCATTTTTAGACAAGACCAATGTGGGAGTTTGTTTTTCTGGACTATAAATATTTGTTACATGGTTTTATTTTGTGGTTTTTTAAAAAACATGTTCAATTAGGGAGGGACAGTTGGGAAGGAGAGAAAATACCTGTAAAATATGTTTAAATGTGTGCAAAGACAAAAAGGGAAAAAATTAACTACTTCTACAGTCACCTACATTCAATCATCTTCCCCAATCTCTTCCCATTTGACCCTAGTTCTTTAGGTAGGCTGCATGGATTCCTGCATTACATATTCCCACAGATCCAGGAAAGAGAATAGGGAATGGTTTTGTATCCAAGATTTCAGTGTTGGATCATGGACTTTCCTGGGGAAAATCAGGAGAAGCAATGAGCAAAGGACTTCCTCTCCAGTTCACTGGCCCTACTGCAAGAGTCATCGTAGCTGGCAGTCTCAGAACTGATTTGATAGCCTCTGCAGGACATGTTTCCAGCAGCCAGCTGGGCTATGGCAGCAGCAGTGGCCTGCCATAACACTGTCACATTATGGAAGCCCTGCAGTCTCATTCCATCGGCAGAAGTTGTTTACTCCCCGTGGCTCACATGGCAGCTAGGAAGTCACAGTCTCAAAATCAGTTGCTCTACCTGCCTGATCAGTAAATGAATCTGAATCTCAAGGGAAAAAAAGAAGGAAAAGAAAGGGAGCCAATCCAGACTCTAGCTTTCATCTTCTATCCTATCACCCAATGTTGCCAGCACATTTTCACCCACACTCCCAATGAGATGAGGAAACAAGTACCTGAGAGCCCAGCACAGCAGGCAACCTGAGTGCCCTCACTTATCAGCCTCCCTTCCATCCTGCTGAGATCTCCTCTTTCTCTTAATCTTCCTGATTATACTCTTTACCTTTTTCCACTTCCAAGTAGAAGCTTACCACCACATAGTGCTGGCTCTATTTCCACCTATGGGCCAACTTCCCATTCCAAATGGGTCTACCTCAGATCCCCCAGTTCTCCAGCTGCAGGACAGGAGTCCTCCAGCCATTCACACTGTGTGGATCACCAGTTACACCAATTACAATCCCATCAGTAAGATGGAGGAGCACCAGGCCTTTCCATCAGTCTTTCCACTTTCCAATGAGCCTTGCCATCTATTCTCCTGATTCACCTCAGGACCTTGACACCTGCTTTGCAGCTGAGCCCAAAGAAAAATTGGATTTATATGAACTGTTTCAAAGCGAAATAAGTAGAACCAGAGAAACAGTACACACAATGGCTACAACAGTAAATGGAAAGAACAACAATAGAAATTGAATGTTGTAGTTATAAGAACCAAATTTGACCTGAAAAAAAGGTATGAGAAGGCACCATCCTCTCTCTTCTTTCCAGGAATGAGTGCGTCAGCCTTTTTTGATTTATTGGTTAGTTTGCTAGATTGTATTTGTCTTGTTTTTCCCCTTTTTTTATTCTTTGCTCTCTGGATGGAGAAGGAAATATAGGTGATGCAAAACAAAACATAATAAAAATTCATTAAATAAAAAATAATTTGCAATACCTCCCTCATTGAGTTGTGAGTAAAATACAGTGTGGGCAGCCCCCTCTAACTGAAGAACTTTATAGCTTAGAAGACAAAAGTTGGCTAAAGAACACAGCGATTAAGTGAGTTGCCCAGGTTCATGTAGCAAAATGTCAGAGGCAGGATTTGAACTTAGGTCTTCTGGACAACATTCAAGTCACAAAAGTATACTGTTCCTTCTACCCTACAGGCACAAAAATGAGTTGCTATTACTGTCCAGGGATAGCAGCATGATTTCTATGAGTGCTTGGCTAATCTATTAAAGTCACTCAATGGGGATAAATGTGTGGATTCAATGGACATAATTTACACGAGTGAACTAATGGAAATTATTTAGGTTTTCAAAAGTTTCCACCAAAGGTTTTGTCATAAAGAGGGGACAGGTAGAGAGAGAGAGAGAGAAGGAGAGAGAGAGAAAGAGAGAGAAGGACAGAGAGAGGACACAGAGAGAGAATGGGAGAAAGAGAGAAGGAGAGAGAGGGAGAGAGAGATAGAGAGAAAGAGAGAGAGAGAAGAAGGGAGGGAGAGACAGAGAGAGAGGAGTCAACCTGGAAAGAGGGATGGAAAAACCTAGGTTTTAATCCTGCCTTGAACAACTCCTAACTGCACAACTTGGGCAAGTCACTTAATAATATGCATGAGAGATCAGTTCCCTCATCTGTGAAACAGCAATAATAATGTAGTATTTACCTCCATGAAACTGTGAGGATCAAATAAGATAATATATGTAAAGCCCTTTGTAAACCTTAAAGTTAAGGATAGGTGGGCAAGCATCCTTGTGTCAGCTGAGAACTATCTTTTTTGGGGGTGTGGCAAATGTTTTTATATTTTTGGTCTGCATGTGCCCTTTGTAACACTTGGGGTCTTGTAACAGAGCAGTGGCATTCTGCAGTGCAGTAATGACATTAGCACTCTGCTTGACTTAAGTGTTTAATAAATGCTCCATGTACAAACAGTCCAATTCAGCCTTTCTTAAAATTATAGATAGTATCATTATGCTAATCATCCAGCAAGGGATACAATATCTGAGTTAACTAACTGCTAGAAGTCTTAAGGCACTAGTCCAGTAGTCACCATCATTCCATTCTGGCATATATCCCAAAAAGCTACAGTATCCCCACTCACTACCAGAAACTGATAAGCCCACAAACTATTCACTGCAAGCCGACCAGGTTTGCAACTTAAACTAGGGAACGGGATGAAATATTTATCAAGGTACTTATGGTTACAGCCCCCAGCTCCCTATGTGGAATCTTCTCTTCCTATCCAAAGACCTCTTTTCCCCGCTGGAGGAGTAGGGTAGCATGATGTATTAAGATAGAATCAGGATTGGAGTCGGGAAGATCTGAATTCAAATACTGCCATAAGACACTACCTGTGTGACCCTGATCAAGTTAACTTAACCTTTTTCTGTTTGTCTATTAAATGAGGGGGTGGGATTCAATGACCTCTAAAGTCTCTTTCAATTCAAAATCTGATCACGTGATATGATATACACAAGTACAAATTCAATGTACTTTGGCAACAGTTTATTGGACATAATTAAAATGAAAGGAAAATATTAAACACTACTACGTAGCACCCTCCTCCACCCAGTCCCCCAAAACATCTGCTTATCCTCCCAGATCTTTAGGGGGTGCTAAAAAAATAAACCTGAACCACTCACTACTGCAGATCATAGAAAGGATGAGGAAAGGAATCTTCATTGGAAGCATGGTGTGAGTGGTCTTCCCCCCCCCCCCGGTCCCCTCCATTTCCCCTACTCCAGACTTGCCTTTGCTACACTGATCCCTGCTGTTTGGGTCTTTGAGTGCTATAAATCTGGGAAGAGCTGGCTCTGATCTGAGCTTTCCCCTCTGAGTCCTAATCAGCAGTTTTAGGCCGAGGAGGTTTGTGGTCTCAACAGTCCAGCAGGACCAATCCCAAAGTTCGTGGCTGGTTGCCCACAAGGTTATCAGCAGCCCTGGCTCCATCAGTAATTGCTGGGCACCTCAATTTCCCCTAGGATGAGAAACTCTTAAAGCTCAAGAGTAAATGCACAGAGTTCCAGACCTATACACCCATGTCTAAATCTCCTTCCCTTTCCTTTGTCCTTGAGCATATGCAATAATTTTATTTCCAAGGCAGGGATGTCTCTCAAATTCTGTTCTACCTACCTCCTATATGGGAACTTCCAGGACTCAAGTTCCCACAGTGTTGATTATACAAAAATATTGACTACATCTTAAAAGAGTGTATGTATTGGTACCTTCCCCTCTTGGGAGAAAGGTGGAAGAATGCAGGTACAGATTATATACATTGTGATCATGATGGTTGGTTTTGTCTTTCATTTCAAAAGTGGGTTGGAGAGGACAAATATTTAGAAATGGCTATTTTACTTTTAAAATCAATCATCAGTACAAATTTGCTCTAAAGTGTATGGGTAGTCAGAAACGGCAATGGCTGACTTCATAACCTTACCATAGATAAGTGCTTTCCTGTTGAGTTCTGGGTGTATTTAGTGTGTCCCCCCACAACTTGTTTGCATGCATATACTACACTGAATTATAGTAACTCGGTTCAAATGTAACCGTGCATATTGACAACACACCCTTTCTGACTCAGTTTCTCCATCTATAAAAAGAAATTAAGGATGCTTGTTCCACTTACTTCATAAGAACAGTCCTGTTGGGAGAATCTTTGTAAACCTTACACTATAGACATGAATATTCTTGGTTTCATGTGCAGTTAGTGTCCCTATTTGGAGTACATGCTCCTCATGGGCAAGAATAGTTTTTTTCTTATCCTCTGTAGTCTCGTAAAACATTAGGCACAGAGTAAGCATGCCAGTGAATTCAATCCCAGTGAATGAGTTAATGGCCTATCAGTTACAACCTAGATCTGGGAGGGTATTTCACTCTGACACTAGCCAAAAGTTCTCTCTGCAATTGGCTGCTAAACAAGAAATCGGTCATCTTCAAGTATGGATGTCAACAGCAAAATAGAAAGTGTCCTACTCTGATACAAATTATGTATCTGCACTTAGACTGTGTGTAGGCCCTGTCATCATTCAAAGCAGACAGTGTGAAGTTGGAAAAGGTCTACGGGACAGCTGAAGTACCAGCGTTGCAAAGTTTCCCATGAGGAAAGACTGAAAAAATCAGGCTCTCACTGAAAAGTAGAAGACATAAAGCAATCTCCAAGGCTGTAAAAGGTGTGACCAGGATAGAAATGGGTTTGTTCATCAAACCACTAACTCCTAAAGCAAGCAGATTTTTCAACTCCTGGAAGTCTGAAAATAGTTTAGGAGCAAACAAAGGAAACAGAGTAATAACGAGAAACATTTGCACCTGAGAAAATTACCACAAACTACACCAGGGAAACTATACATGGTAAAATCTCAGTTGAGTTGTTTGGGTTGGGGGGAAGGGAGAGAGGGAACAACTGGAGAAAATCATTCCAGACTGCTGTCAGGTAGTACTAAGCTTCATTGTTTCTATGTTGTTGAAGGACAAGTGCTATCAACTTCTTCTAAACTTAGCACCTGGGGATAAAACTATGTTTCCCTGGTCTAGTTATGGCACAGGTAGGTGCAAAACCTAGGGCACTCACTCCCTTAATGATGGCAAAAGCTGAAAATGTAAATATAATCAAGAAAGGTTAATACAAGTGCATAGATAATAGATCCACTGCAGGATGCTGCTTGATTAAATATAGATATTAGAGTGACATTCCTTTTTTGTGGAAAACTGCTTTCCCACAAGTAGCATGTCAGATACAAAATATTAGACTGGCCAAGATGCTGATTGAGCCCAGTAAAGCATTTCTTAAATCTCCTTACTTCTCCATTCAACTGCTCTTCTTTCTTCAGTGTAATGAGAAAAGGGGTGATAGTGACACTTGATAAGACTTTGGTAAGGCAGGATGTTTGGGTAGTGTAACTGTAAAGTGCGTTATAAAATCTAAGCTCTGTGATAACACAGAAGTACAGAAGTAGTTCTCAAAAGGTGTGCAGTAGTATTTGTGCGGAGTGAGTTTCTGCTGAGTGCTATGAAATCCCCTGTCCCTGTCCCCACTGTAGGGTACTGACTATTCTTGGCTTAGAATCAGGAAGTTCACAATAATAGTTCTATCCAAAGAGGTACAAATCACCTCTTCCTCTTCTGTAAGTCCCAAGGAGGTAAAGAAAGTGAAGTATTTGAGGAGGAGGAGAAGTAGAAGAATCCCAAGGCCTCACCACCTCAAAACCTTCTTTGTTGCCAATTTAAATGTTTAGTGTGTTATGACTCTTGATGGCAAACACTATGCTGTGAGTAAAAAAAAATTTTGAGAATCCCTGGGCTACACTCTGTATAAAGAAAGGAAAGACATGACTAAAGCAGTATCAGAGTGAGGAGTAAATCAAAAGTATTTCCTCCATAGATGCCTTGCAATTTCCCAAGAACAAATGGGCAGGGAGCAGGTCTCCCTCATTAAAATGGCATTCTCCTATCCACCACCCCAACCCCCCCCCCAAAAAAACAAAGTAACACAGGGCGTGTTCAGCCTGGGCATGGAGGCCAAACAATACACTCACCCAAGAAAAACTTGCACAGAGCCTTGTTGATTCTCCTAATCTTCTATTCTAATCTCTTCCTCGATCCTTGTTATACATCTCTGCCTTGTGCCCCCCATGTACACCATCACAACACCAATAACGAGCCACAGACCTCCCTGTTTGCTTCCTTTTAATGAAGGGTCCCACCATGCTGTGGGACCCCAACCAAACCTGGCATGCCCCTGAAGATATAGTGGAAGGCCTGGAAGGGGAAGGGAAATCTTAGGACAGCCCCATCCCCTTAACATGGAAACCCACCACAGACACTGGTTTGGGGAGGGAATTTCATAATGCCCTCTTAGTGTCATCATAACTGCTCCACTTGAAAACAAAAACAACAAAAAAAAAACACACACACACAAAACTGGCTACACAGCACCCCACTCTTAGCAGCATTTGGGGGGAGGTGCCCCCTCTGGGAGGCATGGCCTCAAGGCAGCCTATCCCCCTTTCCTTCCCTTCCCTTTGGTTTACTCCTGGCAACACTACACTGTGCGTCCTACTATGTCCAACTCCTAGACCAACCTGCTCAAGTCCCCCATCACCTACTCTGCCCCTCTCATCTCTGTCCCTGCCTGTGCCAACAATCCTACAAGTGGGGGAGCAGCAGCCCACATCTCTCCTCTCAGCAAGGGGTCCCAGCTGCGCCCTCCCCTCACACAGCTGCCCCTTTATCCTTGAGGTCAGGGGCTGAGCGCTGTCGTCTCATTCGAGGAGGTGTGGTATAGGGAGGATATCGGGGACCAGAGGGCCGCTGAGCTGGGTAAGGCTGAAGCTGCTGGGGATAATAATTGTGCTTCTTGGGTTGAAACTGTTGGGATTCAGGTTGGCTGGGACCCCCACCCCGGGGGCGGCCCCCTCCATCCAGGGAGTTCCTCCGGGGCCTGTGGGGCCGGCGAGGACTGGGTTGCCTTCTAGAAGTGGGGGCTGATACAAGAGTACCCTCGTCAGAGGGTTGGGGTACAGCCAAAGCCTCCCCACCTTCCCCAACTCCAGGCCATGACTCCCGGTGCTGGGGGTTGCTCTTGAAGGGAAATCGCAACTTGCAATCATGGGGTGGAACAAATCGGGCAGGAGGCCTGCGAAGCCCCCCACCTCGACCTCCAGCAAGCCCTTGGAGCCCCTGCAGGCGCTGCTGCTCCTGCTTGAGCCACCTAAGACGGCCACGTCGGAAAGCGGGGTCCTCTTCCATCAACCTAGACACCCGCTCCCAGCTTGAAGGAGGAGGGGATGGGGGCTGGACAGTAGGGGTAATAGCCCCAGAAGTTGCCTCTTCTAGACCTTCTGTCCCTTCTGAGGCTGCCCAGGTCACCTCAACATCCTCTTCATCCTCATTATCCTGTGAAAAGTTGGGAGAGAAAAGTTAAAGGGTAAGATGGGTGGGAAATGGGGATAACTGGGTCTTGGAAGATAGAGAAGAGGAAGAAAAAAGCCCAGGGAAAGAATGGCCCATTCATTCAGCATTTATTCAGTGCCAACAAGCACTGAAGTAAGACACGTAACCGCTGAGGCTTCATTTCCTCATATGTAAGACAGTAACTACACTAAACACCAAAGCTACCTATCACTTTGAAGAGTTATCATTCCAGTCATAGAATTTAACTCTGGAAGAGATCATGAGTCAATGGCCCTGCCTTTTGCAAAAGAAACTGAATCCTAGGATGATTAAGTGACTTGGCCAAGGTCACAAAAGTGACTAAATAAGGAGCAGTCCCAGCATTTGAACCCAGATCTCTAAATCCTGTGTTCTTTCCATCCTACCATAATACCGTGAGGACAGCATTTTGTGAACTATATTGAAGGGGTCTAACAGTGCAAACTACATCAGGGGCCTTACAAAGAACAAATGCAAGGAACAAGAATTAAAGGCCAAGTACCAAAGAGAGAAAGAATCCAGTGATGGAATGGATGACTAGGTAGGGATGGGCAAGAGGAAGAGAAGCTTTAAGAACAAAGGTTCCTCGGGGGAGCACGCAGACACCTAAGGGGTGCTTGCTAGGGTCCAGACTCACCTGTGTGAGGGGGATGACTCTTTCCATCCTCAGCATTCGATCCCTCAGTGCCCGAAGTTCCCGGTCCTTGGTGCTGTTTTGCAGCTTCACCTCTTGTAGGATTCCAGTCAGCTTGTCAATGTGTGCTCGCAGATCCTCCACCTCAGCCCCTCGGGCCCCATCCTCAGTAGACCCTCCTCCTCCACTTCCCTCTTCTTCCCCTACTGTATCCCAGACATCTCTTGCCACGGCCCGCCAGGCATCCCCAGGCCCTTCAGGCTTGCCGTAGGTACGGCACAGCTCTTTCATCTTGAGGGCAGCCAGGGCCTCGATCTCTGCCCTCCCATGTCGGAAGTCAGCTAGTGCCACCTCGTAACAGATTTCCTTCACTGCCTGCATCTTCAGGTCTGCCATTGTGGCCCAGCGGGGGTCCTTGCCCTGTAGCCGCCGCCGCTGGGGAATCTGGTAGACTCGCCGTGGGGCCCGGCGCTTACCGCTGCTCGGCAGGCCACAGCGCTTGACGATGGACTGGACTGTGGTGGGTGGAAGTTGCTCCCGAAGTGACGATATCAGCCGCCAGCTCTCCTCACAAGAGCGCTTGTCTGAGTCATCCCCGCTGTCTGAGTCTGCATACTGGGGTCACAGAAAGGTCTGGAGGGTTAGGGTTTACAACACGCCCTGGGGCTACTGGTCCCAGTATGTCATAAGAGAGCTAAGACAGGGATGGTAGCAAGCAAACAGTGATTGTTCAATTAATTGGGGTACAGTGGAAAGAACTAGATAGGAAGTGAGAAGACATGAGAAGAGTTTTCCTGACTCTGCCACTAATTAAGAGTATGACTTCAGAAAATCATTTCCCTTTTCTGGTCCTCCATTTCCTCATCTGTAAAATGAGGGGGTAGGACAAGATCTCAGAGGTCCCTTCCAGCTCTAACAAACATTTTGTAACAAACTCAATTTTTCTACTGCAATCTTCCTCATGGGGCAGCTAGATGTCACAGTGGATAGAGCACCAATCCTGGATTCAGGAGGACCTGAGTTCAAATCTGGCCTCAGACACTTGACACTTACTAGCTGTGTGATCCTGTCACACACACAAGTCACTTAACCCCGAATGTCTCAGCAAAAAAAAGCAAAAACAAACAAAAAAAACCAAAACCCCAAAACTTTTTCTTCATACCACCATTAGCTTTATTTACTCCTATTAGATCCCTGAAACTTTATCATCACCCTAATCCCAACTTCTCATCCCCATTATTTCTACTGCAGTGCCAATCCCTTTGCCTACCTCCAAAGAAACCATATTCTGCCTAATCCTACTGTCACTCAAAACCCTATCACTATGGGACAGCTAGATGTCACAGTGGATAGAGCACCAATCCTGGATTCAGGAGGACCTAAGTTCAAATCTGGCCTCAGACACATAACACTTACTAGCTGTGTCACTTAATCCCATTGCCTAGCCAAAACACAAAACAAAACAAACAAACAAAAAAAACAACCCTATCACAGTTGTGAGATCAGCCTCGTCCCTGGTCCCTGACTCTAGGGCCCTCTTTCTCTGCTGACCTCCCCATTCCTCCGGCCTTAGTCCTTGACCTCCCCTGTCCCACTCACCAATCGATGCTGCTCTAACAGAAGATCAGCCTCTTCTTTTTCCTTCCGGTATTGATTCTCTAGATCCTGTAGCCTGAAGCAGAGGAGAGAAAGACAAAGCTCAGGACCACTTTTTTTTCCCTTGGGGTTAAGGAGGCTTGGGTAGTGAGGAGGGGTAGCACAGACTGCAGCACATGGGAGAAGTATATTAGGGGTTAAAAAAAAGACAGCTGTCTGGATGCCCTAATAAAGGAATGGTAGCAGAGCAGAGAAGGGAGGTGCACTCCTCCCTCGTCTACTCCTTCCCCCCAAAGGCACCTCTTCTCCATCTCCAGCTTGATATCAATGCCCTGTTGCTCTAGGAGCTCTTTTTGAGCAAAGTTCCAATCCACAGGCTCAGCGGGTGGCCCTGGGGGTGGAGGGACCCCTCGCTCGCGTTCTAGCCGAGCCTGCTCGGGATGGTTGAAGCGGAAGACATGGTTCTTGCCCAGGACAATTCGGTTCCCTGGAGATGGGGGGAGGGAAGAAGAGAAGGTAAATAATCTTCCATCAAACATTTCTCTACCCACCAAGATCTCCACCCACAACAGAGCTCTACCTGCATCCAAAGAGGGTGCTAGAATTTTCCCAAGAGATACCAAGGGGCCATACCACCTGCTCTCCCTTCCATCCCAAGTTAGACTAGAGCTTCTATGTGGCAAAAAAAAAAAATCCCAGTATCTTTCCCTGCACTCTATTTTACCCAGTTACAAGGAACCTCACCACAGCCTGATCCTGTTATAACTATCTTTCCTAGGGACCAACTAACAGGGAAGCAAGAGAAAGTTAATAGAATCTGTCTCCATTTTCCTATTCCCTTAAAACAGGAAGAGTGAGAGTGATTTAAACTTGACTGCCTGATCCTCGCTCCTCCATCCCTCTATTTGTCCCCAGAAGCCTGCCAGCCTATCTTAAGATCCTTTCCTTTGACTATTCCCTTGTGTACTTTTGACAAAGCATATAATGTTTCTCATGCTATCTAAGCTGTGGATAAGAGAAACAGGAGGAAGAAAACAATCAGTTAATAAACATTTATTAACCACCTACTAAGTGCCAGGCATTGTGTTTTAAGTATTATGTTTTAAGTTTTTAAGTACTGGGGATACCAAGAAAGGCAAATGACAGTTTCTGCCTTCAAGGAGCTCACAATCTAATGGGGGTGAATATGTAAACAAATATGTATGAAAAAACTATATACAAGATAAATAGGAAATAATTAACAGAGGGAAGACACTAGAATTAAGAGGGACTGGCTTCCTGTAGAAGGATTTTTAGTTGGAACTTAAAGGAAGCCAAGAGGCAGAGATGAAGAGGGACAGCATTGCAGGCACAGGGAACACCTATGGAAAATACCCGGAGCTGAGAGAAGGAGTTTCTTGTTCATGGAAGGGCCAAGAAGCCAATGTCACTGGATCAAAGAATATGTGGCAGTAAGTAAAATGAATGAAGCCTGGAAAGATGTGGGAGGGAGGAAAAGAGAACAGCTAAGTTATGAAAAGTTTTTAAGGTCAAACAGGGGATTATGTATTTGATTTCTGAGATGACAAACAGCCAATGGAATTTACTGAGTGTGAGCTTAACATGGTTGGACCAGCACTTTAAAAAAATCACTTTAAGGGGCAGCTAGGTGGCGCAGTGGATAGAGCACTGGCCCTGAAGTCAGGAGGACCTGAGTTCAAATGCGGCCTCAGACCAAACACTTGACACGTACTAGCTGTGTGACCTTGGGCAAGTCACTTAACCCCGGCTGCCTCACCCCCAAAAAAAATCACTTTGGTGGCTGAATGGAGGATGGAGGGGGGAGACAGGCAAACCTACCAGCAGACTATTATAACAGTCCAGGTATGAGTTGATGACAGCCTGTACCAGGAAGGTGGCAATATCAGAGAGAAAGTGGCTAAATACAAGAGATGTTGCAAAGGTGAAATCAACAAATTGGGAGGGAGGCGAGAGATAGTGAGCAGCATTGTGTGAGATGTTGTGAGGCTGGGGGACTGGAAGGATGGTGGTGCCCTCAACAGTAATAATGAAATAAAGAAGAAGGGAAGATTGAGGGGGAAAGATAATGTGTTTTGTTCTAGACATGCTGAGTTTAAGATGTCTTACTGGACATCTACTTTGAGATGTCTGAAGAGCAACTGAAGATTTGAGACTGGAGTTCAGCAAAGAGACTAGGACTGGATAAGCAGATTTGAGAATCATCAGCATGGAGATAATTGAGCTGATGGGAGCTGATCACCAAATGAAATATTATAAACAAAGAAGAGAAGGCTCAGGACAGAACCCTGTGGGAACCTTTGGTTATTAAGTGTGATTTGGATGAAGACCCAGCAAAGAAGAATGAGAAGAAACAATTAGATATGCAGAAGGAAAACCAGGAGAAAGAGATGTCCCAAAAACTTAGAGAGATAAGAGAGCATCAAGGAAAATAAGGTGATTGATAGTCAAAGGATGAAGAAAGGTCAAGATGGATGAGGATTGAGAAAAGACCACTGGTTTTGGCAATTAACAGATCACTGGTAATTTTGGAGCGTGCAGTTTCAGTTAAATGATATGGTTGGAAGCCAAACTGTAGGGAGTTAAGAAAAGACAGAAAGGTACCTATTATAGACAACTTTTTCAAGGAGTTTAGCCACAAAGAGCAGAAGAGATACAGGATGATAATTAGCAGGGACGGAAGATCAGGTGAGAGTTTTATGAGGATGCAGGAGACATGGGCATGTTTGTAGAAGCAGAGAAGGAACCAGTAGACAGGGAGGTTTTTAGCTTTTGCGAAAAGATCCCAATATTGCCTTAGAGCCAAATCTAATGAGGTCCAGCAGCAATCCAAGTGGAATAACTAGATGCAGTCCATACATGGTACAGACTATTACCTAAGGAGACCAAGGACTTCAAGGCCCACAGGGCAGAGTTGGAAATTGTCCAGGACACGTGGATTTCTCCAATGAGTCTCCTTGCTAGAATTAACAGTGTCATCTTGGCTAATTTGTCTAAATAGGAAGCACGCCTGTGGGGATTTGGGAGCTACAGCTGTGAGCAGTAGACATATAGCTTCCCCACACTAGGGTTACCCCTAGGATCCTGAAAACAAATTGTAGCATCATGGCTGCCCACCTTGTGGAAGGTGGCATGACCTGATGGCATGAATGTAGAATGGGGGAAGAAAACAGCCGGGAGATGGGGTGCCACTCCCATAAGGACATACCCATACTACACGAGGATTGGCTGAAGAGAAAGAGAAAACTTAAAAGGGCCACAACAACTGTTTTTAAGTAATTTAAATATCACATGGAAGATGGGTTAGATTTCTTCTACTGGATCCCAGAGAGAAGAACTAGGAGCCATGAGTGGAAGTTGCAGAGTGGCATATAAACAATTGATCATAACTGCCCCAAGGTGAAATGCATTGCCTCAGGAGTTATGGGTTCCTTCTCACTAAAAGTTCTCAAAGTCTTTTCTAACTTTCAAATTCTGTGATTTTATTTCCATGCCTCTGACCTCAGTCTCACTCCTATATACCCCAAACCCACCCAATACCAGAAGCCCCACCTCTGAGACCCTTCTACCTGATCTTAGCACCAGTGGCTGGGTCACAGGGTTCCCGTTTACATATGTCTCAGCTCCCTCACAGGGCTCCAGAGTCACCACAACTGGGAAGAAAAAGGACAGTTAAATACTGGGGAAAGCTTGGGGGGTAAGGGGGTGGCTATGGGCTTCTAAGTTGTAACTGCCCTGCTTACAGTCCCACCCTCCTCCCAGCTCCCCCAGAACTCCCAAAACACTTGTGCAAACATTCAAGCATGCTCGCTCACACCAACACACACACACACACACACTCTCTCTCTCAAGCTCACAATGCCCCTCCCCCTACCTGTGGGGGATGGATTGGCCCCGCTGGTGGCAGCACAAGGAGGGAAGAGCAAAGGAGTGGTTAGTCCTAATTCAATTGCCTTTGCTGTGGACCTCCTCACCCACCACCACTATCACTGTCTGAAAAGCCTAGAAGTCCCAGGAGACAATTCTAGCCAGTTACTTTGACCTCCAATCTTCTCATTCCTTCCTCCCCATTCCCACTGTTATCACGGACACAGTCTACCTAGATGACAACAACAGGCTTCTAGCTTTCTCCCTACTATAATTCATCCTCCAAAGAGCTACCTGACTAATCTTCATCATCTGCAACTTCCATCAGATAATTTCCCTGATCAATAACCTTCACTGGATCCCAATTCTCCCAAGAACAAAGTCCAAAGCCTTCGGCCTGGCTCTTACATCAAATACCTCCCACTAGTTATCTCCCCTACTCCTCCTCATGACCTCTTTGCTCCAGTTAGGTTCAGCTTCTTCCTTGTTTCCCACAGACGTCATGCTTAGCTCTTCTCCAGTGCAGTTTGCTCGGGATTCTCCCCACTCCCTCCTAAAATGCTTTCTTCCCATTCTCTTTGTCCTTCCTGAATTAGTCTAAGGTGGCCTAGTAGGCAAAACCCTCAGAGTTCTAGGTATATAACGGGCTGAGCCCAGGGACTGTTGAGAGGGAACAAGTGCAGAGAGTGTAACTTCTAAAGTAGGGGCAGGAATCTGGAGAGAGAGAGAGGGGGAGAGGGAGAGGGGGAGTGAGAGAGACAGAGAGACAGAGAGAGAGAGACAGAGAGACACAGAGAGAGAGAGAGGGAGGAAGGGAGGGGGGAGGGGGGGAGAGAGAAGAAGAAGGGAAGGAGAAACACAGGGAGACAGAGAGAGAGGGAGGGAGGGAGGGAGAGAGACAGAGAGACAGAGAGAATGAGTTTATTGGGGGGGGGGGGGTTCAGGGAGAGAAAGATCTGGAAAAAGTAGCCTGAGCTGAGTCCTGAGGAAGTGTTCTCGTTATGGGGGGAGGAAAAGAGCAATTCCTGATGTGTATTATGGGGGGGAGGCTCTTTGGACACCCTGGAGATCAGGTTCCCTCCAAGAGATATGGCCTGAGCCTAAAGCTTTAGAGAACTCTTGACAATCTGGGGAAAGAACTGGAATCACTTAATCCCATGTTTCAAGATGAGGGATATCTGTGCAGGGCTAGTTGTGTCCTAGGTACCTCCAGGGCATGGGGTTGGCTTAGAAGATGCCCAGTGTTGGGACTGCAATGTGGTGTGGTGGAAAGAACATCAGATTTGAAGAAGTCAGAAAGACCTGGGTTTGAATCTGGCACTAACTACTTCATCTCTGTGACCCAAGGTATCCTCCTCTGTAAAATGCAGAGGTTACCTAGACCAGAGAAGTCAAACTTTCCTGGGCCACATGCAGCCCTCAAACTCCAGAGTGAGGCTTGCACCAGATTAAAATATAATTGGGAAATGTTTAGCAAAATAAAGAAAAATACAATACAACACAGATAATGTGAATTTGTGGTTTTCTATGTCAGATCTGTTTCTATTTGAGTTGGACACCACTGGGATGACAGTGCTAAGTCTTTTCCAGCTCTAAATCCTGTGATCCATGTTGATTCCCTCTTTCTCTGAATTCCTCTACTACCTACCCATATCATTTAATTTAGCCCTTAGGCATAACCTTGCATTATTGCTGACCTGTTTTTCATGCACCTGTATCCTGCTCCCAGGTCATTCTTGTATCTCTGTCTCCTGCCAGAGCATCTCAGCATCGTACTGGACAAATATTTAACAGAAACTCAGCAAGGAACTTGTTAAGTTCAACCTCACAGCAGCCCGAAGATACTTGAACTGAGCTAGAACAAACCACATTAACTTGCTGGGGTGACCAAGTGTGACTGACTTTCTGAGGCTAGCTGTGAAGCACCATGCCTCAGGTGACCGGAGAGGCAGGGTGAGGCACACACATTTGCAGATGTGGTCACTGTGGTGATTTGTTTAGCTCGACTGTACTTACTACAAGGCAGAAGTTTATTGGGGTGGAGGGCAGAAAAATCACTGGAAAGAGATGATGACTTTAAAAAAAAAGGAAGAGCACCAACCTAAGCATGAATTTTATATAATGAACTGTGACCCAAACCAATCCTGGGGGGAAAAAAAAAAGAAAAGCCAAAACCTCAACCTCAGTGACCACATGTGTTTCTCCTCCCCTTAACCCGAGGGCAGGAAATGGGTCTCTTGCGGTCACAGTACATGAGGCCTCCCCCACTCCTCCTGCTCTGCTCTTTCAGTTCAGCTGCAGTTCACTTAACTTGGCCTGACTGCATGTGGACCCACTGTTTCCTCAAAGCTATCTGACTGGTCCTATCTACAAAATAATATATGAACCAAAACAACCTTCTGCTTGATTTGAGTGCCTGGATGCTACAGCCACCGCTGGGCCTACAAAACCCTAGAGCCTCTGTTTCCACAGAGCACGGGCGGACACGCCTCTCTGAAGACTTTGGAGTTTATGCTCATCGGGTCTACCATTCCCCAAAGTTCTCACTGCTTACAGCTACTCCAGAAGACTAAAATTCCCAGAAGTCTTTGCTTAGAAAGACAGACAGAAGCAACCTCTGCTAAAACAAACGCATATTCCCAAAATATATCTTGATGCTGCTCCTGCCTGCTGAGGAGACTGAGGAAGTGATGATGGTCTGTCTTCCTCTCCACCCAGACCCTACCCTCTTAACCCCACTCCGTCCTCCAACATTTTTCCTGTGTAATACTGCCCCAATCTATTCATACCATTATTATTCACAAACTTGGATTATGGCAGAGCTAAGAGGTACCTTAGAGATCACCTACTCCAGCCTTCCAATTTTACAGATGCTCAAAGTAATGCACAGGTCCTATCAACAGACGTGGTATTACCTGCTGGGTATCTTGACTTGCAATGACCTTTATATTGTTATATATTAATGTGTATCTTCCAAAGTATGCATCTTGTGTCTCCTTCCTCAGGACATCCAGGGCCGGGAACTGTATCTTTCCATTAAACAGTCACCCCCACAGCACTGGCAAAAGACTCTGTATTCATTGGGTGTTCAGTATATGATATGTCCAGCCTCCCTGCTCAACCCAGGGCTCCAGTTACCTTCTCCATCAGGCTGAGTGAGGCTCCGAAACACACAATGCTTCTCTAAGATGAACTGCCCAGTCAGTTTGATGTCCACATCTACCTGGCCTACTCTAAGGAGGGAAAGAGGGATAAATGGCAGGTAGGTTATAGTGATAGGGAAGAATCTTTGAAAATCTCAGGATTCCAGCTAGAGGAAAGTGGGACTTTCAGAAAAAAATTAAGTCCCTAGGTTGGTATTGGAACCTAGGGTCATTCTAAGAGATGAAGTCTATTATACTCCCTCTTGTCACCTATTCCCCCATCCCAAAACTCTGTCTACCTTTTACATTTCTATTAGAGTGAATCAGATTAAAATGAATGCACAGTTCCCTAAGGGAAAAATAATTCCCAGGAAGAAATCATGAACCATAGGTGGAAAGGGAAAGGGACTAGTCCTATTCCTTTGCTATGGTAATAGAGATAATATGGATTAATTTTATGCATATAAGTCTCAGATGGTAGAACCTGCCTCCGTTCTCCCCCATCCTTGGAGCTCCCAAAGCAACTAACCATTAGGGCACTTTGCTCAGGGATATTCAGTAACTACATAAGGAGCATATGGGATTAGGTTTGGGACCTCCAGTCTTACATTCGATTGGATTTCTTCCTTAAGCCTGGATAACGATGGTCACAACCTCACAAACAGGGTAGAGAAATGAGGTCACACAAGGGCAAGGTAAGCAATTTTCCAGGGTACTTGTAGAGTGCCTGAGGGTTTTTAAGGGCTTCATTTCCAAAGACAGGTGCTATGTTAAGTAGACCTCTTTCTCAGGAAGTGAAGACAAAGGAGAACACCAAAATGTCACTTCTGCCAACCCAAAAGATGGTCAACCCTGGAAGCTAACAGTAGGCAAACACATAAGGGGTGACTGAGGAGAAAAGCTACCTGGTGATACCATCTTTAATGTGATAGAGCAGACACTCTGACATCAGGGGATCTTCGTTGAGGTTCACCAGATGAGGGGTCTGTAGGAAGGAAGGACACAAGTTATTCAAGAGGAGAAGGGAACTGGTCAGGGAATAATAAGGAATAAAGGGAAGGGAAGGAGACACAAGGGAATGAGTAGAGATCTCAGGTGTCATGAAAGCAATCATAAGAGAAAGATCAGAGAGTGTAAAGGGATGAGAGAATATCGACAGTTAAGGTCAGAGATTGAAGGGAAAAAATCATACAAGACAATCACTTGCTAGGCTGGAAGTCAGGATGCAAGATTGAAACTGTCTCAAGGGACCCCAGCTTCTTCTGTGGAGGCTGACCCCCTTCTGCCCCATGTCACCATACCAAAGCCTCACCCTTCTGTCACCACTAGGTAAATGTCCAGGAAGGTGGGTGTCACCACTGACCCTAAGACTCCTACCTTAGCACGTTTTTCCTTCTCCATCACTGGATCTGAGAAGGTGGGGCTTCAGCTCGGGTCCCTCTTAGAAACTAGATTTGAAGGCCCTCCCCACCACTGAAATTTACAGAGAGGCACCACCTAATTTACCCTATGAGAAAAAGGACAACACCCCTGCCCTCTATAACCTCTGAATACCTAAACACCCAGTCTCTTCCTGCCAGGGCCTCACACAGGTCCAAGGCTTCAGCTACCCAGCCTAGATATGAGTCAAGTGCAATCTATACCCCCACTACTGCCTGCCCATCATAGGATAAGGCAAAGTGAGAATTCGGTCAGACCCTAGGGATCTTATCACCAGGAACTGATTAATTAAATCATGGGACCTGATCTTGCTGCCTCAACTTTCTACCTCCCTGATGTCTGAGACAGAACAGCAGCCTGGAGGATAGGAGGTCAGTTAACCAACTAGCTTATAGCTATCAAATTTGTACTTCCTCCTCCCTTAATCCTTCTGATTCAGAGTCACTATCTGTCACTGTGAAACCTTGATGTTCAATCTTTGACAAATTTTCCCTCACCTAAAATTTCTTCCTTTCACATTCTTTCCATTTTCTTACCGTCTCAGAAACCTGGTTCTCTAAGACACAGCATCCCTGGCCATCCTCTGCAGTGCTAGGCACTCTTTTGCTTCCATGCCCCTAACACTGTAGGCAAAGAACATATTCTTTGCCCCTCAAAGCCACTTCCAAATGCTCCCTCTGCTCCCGACGCTAAGGAGCCTCTCTTCTTTTGACAGTCATTCTGTTCTACTGTTACTTCCCTATCCTGATCTCTTGTTCTATGAGACAATCTTTTCTTCCTCAAGGAATTCAGTAGCTGGCTTCCTTCCTAGCAAGCCCTGCCCTCATACTCTGGGATTTCAAGATAAACCCTGAGGTCCCTCAAAGTGATTTGCCTCCTAGTTCAATTTTTGCCATCAACCAAAGCTGGGCCAGTAGTTCAGTCTCTGAAGTTTCCTTTTTTGATCATCTCTCTTGTCTTTCCATCTCTCCTTTGGCTTCACTCTTCCACAAAGGATTACAGTAATAGACTGGGAGCCATAAGGGACCTCCCTGAAACCTCCACCTTCTATATTCTCCCAGACCATACTCAATCCCCTCCTTTCAGTCTTCACCTTAGAATTAATGAGTTAAAATCACACCCTTGCCTTATGTCCTGTAAAATCTCATATCTGGATTATACTCATGGTTTACCTTCTAGCATCACAGATTTAGAGCTGGAAGGAACCTTAGGGGCTATCTGGTTCGTTTTAAGGAAGTATTTTCTTCAGCGAGCTTTTGGATTTCTTTTTCCATCTGGTCAATTCTGCTTTTTAAAGCATTCTTCTCCTCACTGGCTGTTTTGGACCTCTTCTGCCACTTGGGTTAGTCTATTTTTTGGGGGGTTAGTCTATTTTTTAAGATGTTATTTTCTTCAGTATTTTTTGGGGGTCTCCTTTAGCAAGCTGTTGACTTGTTTTTCATGATTTTCTTATTTCTCTTCCCAGTTTTTCCTCTACTTTTCTTACTTGCTTCTCAAAATCCTTTTTGAGTTCTTCCATGGCCTGGGACTAAATCATATTTTTCTTGGAGGTTTTGGATGTAGGAGCTTTGACTTTGTTGTCTTCTGGTTGTATGTTTTGATCTTCTTTGTCACCAAAGAAAGATTCTATGGTCTGACTTTTTTTGCTCAGTTTGCTCATGATCCCAGCCAATTATTTAACTTTTAAACTCTTTGTTAAGGTAGGGGTCTGCTTCCAGTGTGGAGAATGTACTGTTCCAAGCTTCAGGGGTTTTGTGCAGCTGTTTTCAGAGATACTTCCAGGAACCTGTAAAATTTTCAGTTCTTCCAAGGAGGTATGATCAAAGGCGAGGTGTTTACTCCTTTTCTGGCCTGTGCTCTGGTCTATGAGAGACCACAAGCACTCTTTTCTACCTTGGAACTGTGAGGAGGATTCCCTCTCCACTGCCACCACAAGCTCTACCACGCCAGCGCCAGTACTCCTCCTTGCCCAGGACCTACACCCAGAACTGTGACCCAGATCCAAACGTGGGCAAAGCAAGAGAATTCTGCCTCAGCACCAGCAAGGAGATCCCTGCAATCTCCCTCCGACCAGCCACTTGATCCCCCCTCTGTCTGTAGGCTGAGAGCTCTGGAAGCAGCCACCACCCCGGGGCTACATCAGGACTGGGGCTGGGACCAAGTTTCTCTCTCACTGTGGTCCGACAGACTTTTCCTACTGACCTTCTAAGTTGTCTTCGGTGTTTGTGGGTTGAGAAGTCTGGAAACTGCCACAGTTGCCTGTGATTCAGTCCCCTGAGGCCTGCTCCCAGTTTGCTGAGACCTGGTCTTTGCCCTCAGGGCCCATGCTGAACTGCACTCCTCTCCCAGCCTAGTGCAATAAACCTTTCCAATCAACCATCCAAGTTGTCTTGGGCTGGAGATTTGTTTCATTCTGTCTTTTTGTGGGTTCTGCTGCTTTAGAATTTGTTTAGAGTCATTTTTTACAGGTATTTGGAAGGATTTGGAGGACAGCTCAAGCAAGTCACTGCTTTTACTCCACCATCATGGCTCTGTTCCTCAAACTCCTCCTCATTTTACAGATGAGAAAGTGAGGTCTGGAGGCTAACTGACTTGCCCAAGGTCACACAACGACTAAGGAGCAGAGCCAGGGAGATTTGAAACCAGGTCCTCTGACTCCAAATCCAGCATTCTTTCCCCTGTACCATACTGCTGCTCCTCTCCTTCTCACACGAGGCTGAATGCCCCAGTGAAGAAAGTTACAACACTACACTGACTGAATCTATTATCAAGTTAAGCAGATACAGAACAATACACTATGTGTATTACAACAACCATGTGGAAGATCACTAGCCTCCTTCGTTCCTTTTACAAATATTAATAAAGCCATTTTCTTAGTATCCTAGCCCAAAGCCTTTAGACTACTCAACTGAATGAGAAACCCTTATCAGTTGCGCTATCGATTCTGAAACAATGCCCTGCACTGAAATCTTCTTATATCATTTTTTTTGAAGGCCTAGTTTCTAAAAGGAAAGGCCTGGTTAAGCCCAGAGAGGACTTTTCTCCAAAATGATTAGGATAATACTTTGATTAACTTCAGTTAAAAATCTTTCAATGCCTCCTGAGTTTACCTCTGACCAGAAGAATCCTTAGGGTAAATAGTTAAAGAGGGAATGAAAGGTTATAGCAAAATAATTCTCCAGGGAATGCCAAAAGTTAAGGAATTCTGCTTGATGAATCAAAACTATTCACTGAACTTTCACCTGAGATCTTACTGTAGAATCGCGTCTTTGGGCAGATTACAAATTGCAACTCAAATATGACTTGTTTCTTTGCAAGATTTACAAAAGCACAGGGAAAGTCTGCCCCCTTTGGGATTCCTTTCTCTTTGATGAGATGTTTAGAATTAGAATAATTAAATTAATAAATTTGTCTCTGGCAGGCTTGTGCCCCAAATGCAGAGTAATGAATTTATTTCTCCACAATTACAATTAGTAAATTAAAACAACACTAAAAAGAGGAATTTACACGATCTTCGGGGACTAATCTCAGTCTAAGAGAACAGCTAATAAAACACATTGTGCTCCTCTCAAAAAAAGAGAAGAGAGAACTACTAGTACAGAATGTTACATTCTCTTATAAGCAGATGTTTTTGCAGATCAGTTTTGTTTAGTTGTTTTTGTTATAATGGAGGGACTAGGAGTGAGAATAGTATATCGAAACTACAGTGTAAAAAACAAGATATCAATAAATCTTTAAAAAGGGAAAAAAACCCTCCCTTCCACTTGAACCTATCATCCCCTCAAACTATTTTCCTTTATCTCTTTTATCTTTCACAATCAAAGTCCTGAAAGTCTAATTACATCTCTTAACCTTCCCCTTACTTCTCAAACTCTTGCTTCTGACTGCTGACCCCACATGGAACTGAAGCACACACATTCCCTTGAGAGTTAAATTGCTTGTCAGTTTTGAGCCTACTTTCCTGTAATTTCTGACAGTGTCAACCACCCCCTCTTCTCTCCTAGTTCACCTTCCACCATCTTTCATCATTGCTGTCTCGATCTCCAAACCTGACCTCTGATGACCATGCCCAGGAAGAACTAAGTCACTCAGCACTGAACTCTCAGGGATCAGGCTTCTTCAGACTAGTCACCATCTGCCACCCTGTCATTTCTAAGTACCTCCCTCTCCCTTTCTACATAATCTAGTGGGGGAGACAACATGGAAACAGTATGTACATACAAGGTATAGACAGAATAAAAGGAAATAATCAACATAGGGAAGGTAGTAGAATTAAGAGGCATCAGGAAAAGTTTCCTGGTAGATGGCGGGATTTTAGCTAGGACTGGAAGAAATCCGGAAGGCAGAGATGAGGAGGAGAGCATTCCAGGCATGGAAGGTCAGTCAAAATGCTCAGTCAGGAGACGAGCATCTTGTTAAGTCTGTAATCTCAGGCATCACTAACTGGTCCTTCTTCTTCCTCATCCCCAATACTGTCAGCTGCCAAGTTTTGTGACTAATGCCCCACAATGGGATGGGCATCCTCATCCCACACAACTTTTCCTT